CTCTCGTTCCCGGCCACTTGCCTTCTCTCCGTATTCCAGAGCTTCTCTGTCCCTTTTCCACATCACCCTCCTTCGCCCTGCTCTGCCCAGGGAATGTGGCAGCTTGTCAGGTGACCCCAGAGGACAAGGTTGCATGGCCCGCCAGAGCCCCTGAACTCAGCTCTGGTGGGCCGTCTGTCTGGGGCTGCCTGTAGAGGGTGGCCCTGGGGTTGGGGCACACGAAACCCTGTCCCACGCGCCAGGACAGCCCTGGGGCAGCATCTTGCCTAATGGGGGAGTGGCTGGGGAGGAGGATGAGGAGCCACAGGTGACCTCATACCTCCTGATGTGGGGTTGTCCCTGAGCTGAGCCCCACCTGATTTTGGGTGTGTGGGCACTAATCAGGCGGGTACTCCCAGAGCGCCACTCTGGACACAACCCTGGCCTCAAAGCCCCCCTTGCCCTCTCCCAGTCCAGGAAGGTGCTGCTGGAGTAGGGTCCTGAGGTTTTGGGGTCACATCCTGAGCCTCTGTATTGTTTCGCTTCCTCCCTGCCTCCTAGCAGCCTCTGGCCAGCCTCCTGGAGCTGTACCCCATCTCCTGACCGTCTCACTTCCGCCCCAGCTCAGCCTGTCCCATCCCACCCTCACCATCTTCCTCAGCCCAGGCCCCACCTGACTTGGGGGCCTACTTCCCCCTGCCCCTTGGCCTTTATCTTCTCTGCCAGCCGTAGCTCTGCGCCTGTCTTCGTCCTGGCTCTCAGGCCTTTTCTCTTCTGGAGGCGGGGCCACTGCAGGCCCACCCCGCCTTCCAGCCTGAACCCAGTCTTCCAAAAGCACCCCACTCCACTGGAGAGCCTCCCTGCCTTTTGCGTTTCCAGAACACTCCACCCATGCGGGGGCCTCCAGCCTATTCACCCATTTCCAACCCGTCCAGCACAGCACCTGGCAGCTCCCTGATGGGTTCATTTCCTCACCCACTGCCACCCAGAGTCGCCTAGCTCTGGCACCCTGCTCTCACCCCACTCAACCTCAGGAAACATGGGTGCACGGAGGAGGGCAAATGCTAAGGCTTAATCACTTCCCTGGTTTCTGGAGATGGCACCGTGGAGATGCCAAGGCTGGTGTCCACTGTTTAAGTTTCTATCTGCTTCTTCCGTCATTTGTGGGGTGAAAGGCTGGCTTCCCCGCAGGCAGTAGAGTTTGTAATGCATTCACAGAACGAGAACAAGGAGCCAGTTTTGGCTTAAAAGGCTCTGCGGAAGCTTTGCTCTCTAGCTTGCAGGGCCGAGGAGGAGGGTAGGTCTTGTTACCATGTTTTGCAAAACGTTCACACCCAGACAGTCTATCTTCCCCAGCTCTAAGCCCCACCCACTCCAGGCTCCAGCAGCAGGGTCTGGGCAGCGCTGGGTCTGCTCCACACCCCTCTCCCCTGCCCGGACCCCAGCCTGCCCTTATCACTCCACTCCACGGCCTGAACAACTCTCCTGCTCCATCACTCCACGTCTCCACGTCCAATGGCAGCGGTCAGTCCTCATCTGACCCCACCGACCCCGCCCTCCTTAAAATGTGCTTGCTGGGCTCATGGGGCCTCATTCGGCCTCATTCTCTCTGGGTTCCCTCCACTGCTGGCCACTCATTTGCTCTTGACCTTGGGGGCGCAGAGCCCGGAGGCGCTCTCTGTGAGTCACCTCTTCCTCACTCTAGCCGCTGGCTCCAACCCTATTACCTGTGACCCCAGATATTCCACCCAAGTCCAACATCCACTCACACCATTGCCCACCCTTCACCCCATCTTAGTCCTCCTTAATGCTCCCTGTTGCAGTAAGTGGCAGCCCAGAAGCCACTTCAGTGCCAAAGCCCACAGATTTCCTTGACCTTCCTCGACTGTCTCACGGCCCATGTCTAACCCATAGCCAGGTTCTGCAGACGATACTTCCTACTCATTTCTCCAGCCTGACCATTAGCCCGTTGGTCCCCTGCCAGTGCCCCAGCCGACCTGCCCGGTCATCCAGCATAGACTGCATCCCTTTTCTTTTCTTTTTTAAAAAAAGATTAATTTCTGCATACAGAACTGAGGTACAGGCAGGGGCAGTGAGAGGATTCACCCTCTAGAGACATGGTGGGCAGCAGAACAGGCCGCCTGACGAAGTCCACTGCTGAGGGGAGCAGCAGGCGGGTCAGGCGAGGTCTGCCGCGCCCTGGGGTCACCTCCGGGGCGGGGGGTCAAACCTTGCATTGAAGCATCTGGGGCCAGCTTCGCAGTGCTGTGCCTCTACCTGGTCCAGGAAGAGCCCCCCACGACGTCCCTTTCAGCAGCTGACTTAGACTGATCTTTCCGAGACATCCGTCTGGGGCTCATCTGGCCCCACGGCTCCCCTGCAGCGGGCTCCCCACCGGCAGGGTGAAGATGAGCTCTTGGTGTGGTCCAAGCCCCTGATGCCTGGCTCTGCCCGCTCTTCTAGCTCAGATCTGTCCCCTCCCTTGCTGTCCTCCAGCCACGAGCCTGACCGCGGTTCCCAGCTGCAGCGCTGACACCCTGTCCTCACGCTCTCTGCCTGGACGGCTCTGTTGCCTCAGATCACAGCTCAAACATCACCCGGCCAGAAAGTCTTCCCTGAGCCCCGGGGTTAGAATGGCCCAGAGAATCCTTCTAGCACCGTCTACCTCTTTTCAGGCCTTTCCACCACTGTGTTGATATTCACTTAAATCAGGAACTGGCACATTTTCCTGTAAGTGGTAGACATCTGGGCTTCGCAAGCTGGGCAGACCGTGGCCCAACTACTCAACTCTGCCGCTCTGGGCCGGCAGACCTCACGAAGCCAGGGGTTGGTGGACACCAAAGTTTGAAGCTCATGTTATTGGCAATTGCACAGAATCTTATTTTGATTTTCCCTATTAAAAAAAAATGTAAAAACCGGGCCACCCTGGTGGCCGAGGGGTTGAGTCTCAGCGCTGTCGCAGCTATGGCTTGAGTTCGATCCCTGGCAGGGAGCCAACCCACCTGGCGCAGCAGACCTCACCTGTCTCCCCTCAGCAGTGTAGTTTAGCAGATCCACCTGTTTGCTCCCCACTCTGTCTCTGGTGAGTTCTCTCACCCCACCCCCAGCATTTCTGGTCTGCACCCCAGTTCTTCTATGCAAAAAAAAAGAAAAGAGGTATTGGTGCTTGCTGCAGTGAAGTCCCCCTCCTGAGCTGTGACCACAGGCAGGGCAGGCTCAGAGGCGGTCCAGGGAGCCCCTCTTACCCTCTGTTCTGCTTCTTAAGGAGAAACTAGGGTCACTAATTCCTTGGAGAAGTGCCAGGCAGTTCGAATTCCAGGACACCCAGTGGGGACTCCGACTGGCTGGTTCTGGACCACCTTGCCCTAGGGATTTCCCCTTGGTGACTTTTATCTTTCCTCTTCCGAGCAAATCATTAACCTTACAGCCTCCAGCCCCGGCCCCCAGAATTCACAGGAGTGGGTGGTTGAGACTGGAATCGCCAGGGCTGAGTGGGGCTCAGTTCCCCAGGCTTGCTCCTGCCAAGGTCAAGGACTGTGACCAGGTGGGGCCCAGCTTCTCGCTGAGTTGCACGCGCCCGGCCTGGCAAGGTCAGAAGGCAGACAGCTGGGTGTGGGGTGTCCCCTGGGTGCAGTGCTACCTTCCTGGGTTGAGTTGGGTGAGTCTTTGGTCAGGGGGCTGGCAAGCAGCTTTCCAGAACATGGCAAAGGCCAGAATGCTTCAAGGTGTACTCGCTCTGCACCCTGGGGCCACTCTGCCCCTCCCCCAAAAACCAGCCAGCCATGACCAGCTCTGCTCTGAGCTGCTGTGGGTCAGTGGCTTCAGCCCACCTGGACCCAGGTCTTCACCCCTTTCACATTTCTATGGGAGATGGGCTTCTTTCCTTCAGCGCCATTAGGGTTTCATGAGGTCCCATGAACCCCTATCCCCATGGGACAAGTCCCCTTCTCAGCTGAGCCAACTGGGGAGGAAGAGGCAGACAGGCCTCCACCCCCATTCTCAGGCCACGATGTTGGTGGGGTCCTCCCTGCACCCCGGTACTGAGTGGCCAGATTCTGGCCTACAGAACCCTCTAGGGAGGCCTCTTAAGGATGGGCCCGGGAAGTTAGGGGGTCAGGAACCCCACGCAGGTCTGCTCCAGTCCCGCGGGGGACCCTGGCCTGTTTCGGAGGCCTGCGGGGCTGGGCTCTGGGAAGCCCAGGGAGCCCCTGATGCCTCAGGCAGCTGGTGGGGAGCGGGGCCTCCGCCCACCGTCCCAGGGTCCGCAGCCCCCCCCAGTCTCCCCGCGGTAGCAGCCGCTGCTCCAGTCCAGCTTTATTGCCGCCCTATGCCTCGGGGCGCTGCTTGAGCATGACCGAGGCGCCGCTGCTGACCATGACGGCGGGGTAGAGCGGCTCCAGGAAGGCGTCGAGGAAGCGGTAGATGAGGCTCACGCCGCCCGCCACGCCGTAGAAGGACAGGCAGCCCGCGGCGCAGTCGAGCGCCACGCCGAGCGTGCGGTGGTATCCGCCGAGCAGCACCGTCTGCGTGTTGTTGTGCCACACGGAGAACTTGAGCGAGTCCCACTCCAGGCACCACGAGTAGGGGTTGCGGCCCAGCAGGTAGGAGATGCTGCGGCGCCGGCGGCCGCTGAGCGGCGGGCTGCGGCGGTACGTGACGCCCAGGCACACCCACGAGTTGGACACCTCGGCCTCCCAGTAGTGGCGGCCCTCGGACAGGCCGAGCGAGCACAGCACCTGCGGCCACTGCTTGAAGCCGGGGAAGGGGCCGCCCGAGGCCAGGGGCTCCAGGAGGATGCCCAGGTTCAGCGCCGAGTGCGTCTCCTTGAAGACGAACAGATCCTCGCTGGCCGTGGCGGGGTCGAAGTTCAGGTTGCGGTAATCTGGGGGGGCAGAGGGGGCATGAGGGCCTATCCGTGGCCCCCAAGGGGCAGCCCTGGAGGAGGAGGGTGTTAGGTCGAGTGCCAATTGCAAGGGAGTGACCCAGGGCACCCCCCAAGCTCCCCGACGCTCCCCCGCCCCCTCAGAGCCCCTGACTTCGTCTGCAGGACGGGAGCATTAGCTGTCATCCACCGCCAGCCAAGAGGCCCCTGCCCTGCCCCTCCAGGCCTCCGGGACCTTCAAATGAAAGGGAGATGGTCCAGGAAGAAAGGGACAGGGCCATCCTAGTATCGAGGCTGACTTGGAGGGCGGATTGCTTGACAGCACACGGGCCCTGAGAGGGCCACCGAGCCCCACCCACAGGGCGAGAGCAGGGGACGGGCTGGAGCCTTCTCCCTTCCTGTCAGGGCCTTGGACTCTCAGCCTGAGTCCTTAGGTCTTCAGTCCTGAGAGGGCGATTAGGGCAAGAGAGCAGGCCTTCCCCTGGAACTGGGCCTGTGTGGCGGGGGGCTAGGAACATGGGGCCCCAGGGCTCCTTTCCCTTTCCTTCCCAGCTCTGCGCCCGGACCCGTGTTGTTGAGGACTCACACTGGAGAAGTGTTTTCCTGTCCATAACTGGGGGCAGCACCTCATAGGAGTTCATCTTAATGCCTGGGAGAGATGGGGGGCGGGCCTTGTTGAGGATGCTCTTGCAGCCCGGCATCCTTCTGGGGCGAGGCATGGGCTGCCAGGAGGCTGTCACCTGGGGGTGCACATCGGCCGGCAGGCAGGCCTCTTTGCAAGTGCCCAGAACCTCAACCGCTGCCCTGGAGGGCGGTGCAGGCCCCCGAGCAGGGAGATCTCCAGCAGCCCCAGGCCACCAGGTACTGACCCTTCAGGAGGAGCTGATTGATGAAGCTTAGACCAACGTCCCGCAGCCGGGTCCTGAGCTCTGCCAGGGTCTCTGGCGGCTGGAGGAAGCTCTGCTTCTTGTCACAGTTGGTGCCCATCAGGGATTCCGTGCAGGCCGGGAAGTGCTTCAGCCTGGGGAACTCCTGTGTGCAGGGAGGGACGGGCCACCCTGAGCCAGGAGTGTTGCTTCTGCATGGCAGTCCCTGGAACCTCAGGGCTGGGAGAGAAGTTGCCCCTTTTCAAAGCTCGACTCTTTCTGCCTCCTACTTGTTCGGATGCATTAGTTAGGGCCTTGCCAAAGGCACGCTGCTGTGGCCTTGTGCCTTAAGCCAACTGGCTCTTGAGAGAGACAGGAGAGGGACTCTGGAGCCTCCCGTGGCTGAGTGGAAAACTTGCCCAACACTGTTCCGCATGGGGGGCAAGGGGGGCTTCTGCTGGGGTGTGGCGGCCTCCGGAGAAGCCGGGACTGCTGTAGCAGCTGCTGGGCATAAGGTCTGGTGGGCAGCTCCCGGCCTGCCCAGACCAGGCTGCGGGCAGGGCCAGGCCCCGGGAAAGACAAGAGACGAAGGGACTTCCACACGCACTGTGTCGGCGGTTCTGGCCTCACTCTGGCCCTCATCCGGGGCGTCTGGAAAAACTCAGTGGTCAGATGCCCTGGGTGGAGCCTGGTCTCCAGAGACATGCAGGCTGGAGGTTAGGGGGCTGGACCCAGGTGGAGGCAGAGGCCAGGGGTGTTGGGGAGGCCCCTTCAGGGGGATGGACCAAGCAGCGCAGCCCCAAACACTGACACTCCCTCTAATGCCTGGGCAGAGGTGGTGTGTGGGGTGGGTGAGGGTCAGCGGCGGTGGCGGGTGGGGCGGGGGCCTGCCTGCAGGAACTGCTGGTCACTCGGGCTGGTGAGCAGCGTGCGAAGCCAGATGCTGTCCCTCTCCAGCTTCAGCAGCCGGTCGTGGCTTTGCTGGATAGAGCTGCCCAGCTTCTCCAGGGCGGCCGCCTCCTCTTTCTCCACAAAATCCAAGACCTTCGCCTGCAGCTGTTTGACCTCTTGGCTGATCTCCGAGAAGCAGGCGTTCACCTCGTCGCGAGCCGTCTGGATCAGTTTCTGGGGGCAGGAGGGTGCGCGGAGAGGCTTTTCTGAGCCCCAGCATGTACCCCCACTGTCATGGCCCAGAGCTGGCTTAGTGGGGGCTCTCTCTGCACTGCAAGCCCTGCGTGTGCTCCCCTTGGCCTGCGCAGGGTGCCGGGGGGCCCGGTCTGGCGGTCAGCTTACCAAGAGGAAGGCCACCTGCCCCCGGTGCTTCTGGCTGTCGGAGGTGATCACCAGCATCTGGTTCTCCATGTTGGCTTGGATCTTCTTAACCTCGACCTGGGGTGGGGGCCAGGGGAGAGGCAGAGGCCCCTGACTCAGATGGCCTAACAGAGCCCCCCGCCAGCAACCCCCATCAAAACCCAGACGAGGCTGCCTGCGTCCGAGAACGGGAGGCGGCAGGGCCCGGGGCTGGCGGCCGGGCTCCCCTCAAGCCACCCCTCTGCCGGGGCCTCTCTCCCCCTTCTCAGGATCTAGTTCTTGCTCCTGGCAGGTGAGCAGGGGGTTTGGGTCACGGGTGGGGGCTGTGGAAGGTTCAGTGACTGGGGGAGTTGTGGGGTGAGGCGGCCCTGGATGCTGCTACTGGGTGCAGGCGGGACCCTGCTCCCAGTTCTTTTGCCTCCTTCCCCCAGCCGTCATGGTTCTCTCTACTCCGACAGCTGCTCCAGATGCTGCCTCTGCGGCCCCCTGCGAAGCCTAAGCCTGCACAGGGCGACAAGACGCTTCATTTGGCCGCAGGCTGAGGCGCCCCTGGTGCGGCACTGCCCACCAACACCAGCCCTGCCTGCCCTGAGGTCGCGCCCAGGGTGGAGGGCTGAGCTGACAGTGTGATGAGCTTGCGCCCAGCACTCGCCCCAGGGCGAGGGCCATTCCCGGGGCGCTGTGCGGCCACGGCACTGTTGCAGGACAGACCTGGCCGAGTGTCTCAGATACGCTACTCATGGACAGCAGTGCAGAAACAGTAAGCAAAATCTGAAAAGAGGGGCCTCCCTGGTGGCGCGAGGTGTCAAAGCACAGCACCATGAAGCTGGCTGCAGCCACTGCAGCTTGAGGTGGGGCACCGGCCAGGAAGAGACCCCTGGGGCGCAGAAGACTCTTCCAGTTTCCCCGCTGCTCCCCTCAGCAGTGTATTCAGTGGATCCGCCTGTTCTGCTCCCCACTGCCTCTGGTGAGCCCTCTCACCTGCCCACACCTCTGGCCTGTACTCCTGTTCTCGTGTGCATAAATAAATGAATCTTTTTTTTTTTCTAAAGATTTATGCATACAGACCTGGGGTACAGGTCAGAGGTGCAGGGGCGGTGAGAGGCTTCACCAGAGACAGAGGGGGGAGCAAGACAGGCAGATCGACAAAGTCCACTGCTGAGGGGAGCAGCGGGCGGGGCAGGAGAGGTCTGCCGCGCCCTGTGGTCACCTCTGGGGCAGGGATCGAATTTGTACTGAGGTGGCTGCAGCCTATCTGCAGTGCTTTGTCCCAACCTGTCGTGCAGCCAGGGAAGGCCCCAATAAATGAATCTTTAATAAAAAAATTTGAAGGGAAAAAGACG